AGTATATTACAAATAAGAATCATCATGACCAAGTATTTATCCTAAGAAGGCAAAAACAGGGCAACATTAAACTATCAGTGAGTGACTACCTGGCATATCATAATGCTTTGTAAATATTAGTTATTTTTTGGCTATTAATGACGGTGCGCATATAAACTTGTACAATTGTTGTCAGGTGAACTGGGGAGATCCTGGGCCCTGGGGCCTCTAGCCAGACAGAGCCAAAGGACTCGCGGACGGTTTTTGGTCAAGGGAACCGATTCAAGGACAAACACGCGGCACAGCTCATGAGTGACACAAGCAGGCAAGTTCATTAAAGCAAAAAAGCACACTCTCGAGATATGAGCGCCGGCGAACTAGAGAGGGAGGCGGGGAGCCGGAAGGACCGAGGGAGACCTAGCGAACATGCGCAGGTGCGCAGGCGCGCAAGCGGGCGGAAGAGCATGAGCGAGCTGCACGCAAGGTGGGGATGTTTCTATCTTTTATTGACAGTTGTTAACTAGCGGGCAGAATACGTATTACTTGGGCGGCAAGCAGTGTTTCAAGCTTTTTCCTCCTAATTTGGTCAGAGGTTGCTTGTCGTGGCACCTGCCATCTTAGTTCTGCCTGGGTAGATCCGGCTTCTTGGGGAGAGCTGTCAGGACCCGCCTCTGACCTTCCCGATAGCTGGCCATGACTTCCTCGTGCTGGCCTCCCGGTATTGTGTTAGAACCTGACTAACTGCCTACTGTAACACAATGACTTTAGAAAACGATTTGATATTGTCTTGTAAAGTTGAACATGTGTAGTGGGTAACTTCCAGCTCCGCAATTCCACTCTCAAGAAATACACCCTAAGGATCGTTACTTGTATGCATTGTAGATATATATAATAGTCTTTGTGGGTTTTTTTGTGAAATATTGAAACAAGAAAGAAAAAAAAGGAAGCAACTTACGACTCTATCCATAGGAAAAGAGATAAATCACTTGTGCAGTAATCACACAATGGCCTGCTATTCAGCTGTGGCTTGGAGATAAGCAAACGGAGGTGGAAGGGTTGAAGATGAAAGAGGAAAGTAGTCACAACTGTAACCAAACCAACGCGTGTTGGCTCCTTGGTGAGTCATAGAAACTGCACCAGGTCAGTCGTCCCTTAAAGGAAACTTTATTTGCAGCAAATAAGGAGTCCAAGCTTCCAAATAAGGTTTTCCTTGTGCGACAACTCACTTGGTGCAGTTTCTGTGACTCACCAAGGCGGAAACGCCTGTTGGTTCGGTTACAAATTTGGTGACCCAGATGGGACAGCTGTCCTGAGGTTCTGCCCTCCAGTTCCCTGGGTTCCGATGGACGGAGCAGCAGGCAGCGGAAGCTTGCTTGGGTTAAACGGTTCAAGCTATCAGGACCAGGGGCAGATTCCTTGGAGGAGATTCACCCTTTTTTGGTGCTTGTGACCACTGGCGTGCCATTCTGTCCTCATTTGAAATCCAGATCTCATTTGAAACTCTGATTATATTTACCCGAAGGATTTCTGTTGGGATAAATCATGCCAGGTCCGTGGCAGAGATCTTAGAAGTAAAACTAAAGCTCTCTCACAAAGTCTGGGCAAGACAGCATAACAGTCAGAATACACTGGGTAAACAGGGCCTTTCTGCTAAACACTCTGGGAGATTGAACACTGATTAGGGTCCAGTGTTGAGTCTAGACATCCCCAAGTGACAAAGGATCACACGACCCAGCCATTCGGAGGGTTGGATGCTCCAGCCTGGCGAAATGGGAGTGATCTAACGGACTGATCTAGGATCTGGGAGATTGAAGAAATCACTCTCCCACTTGGTTGTTTGGTTTGTTTGTTGTTCTGTTTGTTGTTGTTCCCTGTTTAAATCCACCCTGGGGGCGCCTGGGTGGCTTAATCCGTTAAGCATTTAAGTGGTTAAGCGGCAGACTCTTGATTTTGGCTCAGGTCATGATCTCACAGTTCGTGAGTTCAAGTTCCGCATCTGGCTCTGTGCTGGCAGTGCAGAGGCTGCTTGGGATTCTCTCTCATTCCCTCTGTCTGCCCCTTCCCCGCTCATGTGCATGCACGCTCTCTCTCAAAATGAATAAATAAAATTTAAAAAATTATTGGGCCAAGTTTGTTAAAACTGGACTTGTTTTCCAAACACATTAATACTCGTTTTGGCTATCTTTGATGGAAATGAGGGTGCTTTTAGAGAAAAATTATGTTCCAATAATATATCTTTGTGGATGTTAGATTTAATTCTGATTGTCTTAGTGTTTGTTGTTTGCCTATAAACCTGGATCCTGAATTCTGGTTTCCTTGAATATCTGACTATGGCTCTCCAAACTAAGGTTTCCAGTTTTCTTTCATTCTCTTGACTTGGAATCCAGTCAAGACTTGAACTAAAACTGTCCCCCCCCCCTTTTTTTCCTGAAGCCCTGCAAACTGAAGCTAGGCAAGTAAAGCCCTATTTATGAAGCTCCAGCCTTAGCATTTCCTGATTTTGACAAGCTGTTTGATTTGTCTGTACATGAAAGGCAAGGCATAGCTGTAGGGGTTTTATCCCAAATGCTGGGGCCCTTAAAGAGAATGGTAACTTCTTTTTCTGAACAATTGGACATGGTGGCCAAGAGGAGCTGTGGCAGCCAGTGCCTCTTGATAAAAGAAGCGAAACAAACAAACAAAAAATCCCCTAGAAGTCAGCCTATGCCTGTGGACCATTTTCCAGGGTTTTTTTTTTTTTTTTTTTTTTTTTAACCTAGGAACTATCCCAAAACAAAATGTTACAATCTCAGGCCATGCTGACAGATAGATACTCCCAGATACAGCTGCCACCCTACCCCCCAATCAGGAAGTACTTGATCAGATTCACTCTGGCTACAAAGATCTCCAGAGTAAACCTCTGTCCACTGCAGAGGAAATCTGACTTCTAGACAGCAGCGGTGTTGTGGATAATGGACTAGGAAAGGCAAGATATGCTGTCGTATTCTTAAAGGCTCTCCTGGAGGCCAAAAGACCGTCCCCACGCACCTCAACCCAAAAGGCAGAAATAATTGCACCAACCAGAGCATTAGAATTGAGTGAAACAGGGGCGCCTGAGTGGCTCAGTTGGTTGTGTCTGACTCTTGACTTTGGCTCAGGTCGTGATCTTATGGTTTGTGAGTCTGAGCCTCTCATCGGGCTCTGTGCTGACAGTGCAGAGTCTGCTTGGGATTCTCTCTCTCCCTCTTTCTCTGCCCCTCTCCCACCCCACCCCCAAAGTAAGTAAATAAACTTAAAAAAAAAAAGAAAGGAACTGAAATTAAGGTCAGCCAAGCCTCCAGGTATCTTTCTCCATCTGTCACCTCTGCTTCTCCATGTAGATTTGTTATACGCTTCTCTCTCCGTGGACTTCATTCCTCTGCATCCTCTGCAGGTTCACAGTGAAAATGGCTGCCTCACAGTTGTTAAACTTACAAGTTGCAGTTCCAGACACATAATGAGTATGACCTAATTCTTCCTGGATCCCAATTAAAAATTTCCAGAAAAGAGAATTTTACAGGGTGTCAAACACTAGCTCTAAAATCTGTGGATCCTGTGATACAAGTACAGCTGCCAGAGGTCCATTTTTGTGTCCACCAAGAAAAAAATTCACTGAAAATTTAATCAAATGGGCATTTAAAAAAATTTTATTTTTGAGAGAGAGAGAGAGAGAGAGAGAGAGAGCGCTTGAGTGGAGGGGGCACAGAGAGAGAAGGGCCAGAGGATAAGAAGCAGGTTCTGTGCTGACAGCAGTGAGCTCAAACTCACGAACTGAGCCGTGAGATCATGGCTTGAGCCAAGGTCAAATGCTCAACCAGCTGAGCCACCCAGGCACCCTGAATCAGATAGCCTTTTAGTTAGGCGGTTAGGATTGCAACTCTGGAGACAAAGATGTAGGTAAGAACCTGACTCTTTTTCTGAGGAGGACAGAGAGGGGCAGGGTTATAAAGGCAAAAGTTCATAAGTGCAGTTCTCATTTAGGCCCTCTATGCAGAACACAGACGGAAAATATGTGACCTGGGATTGACTGAGTTAACATTCAAACGAGGGATTGAAATTTGTCGAATCCTCTTGGCTCCTTTTGGAGTGAAGAATGCTAACAATTCAGGTGTCCTGGTGAGGAGGAGTTAAGTCCAGGCCGAGGGCTTGCAGCTGGCACAACATTTATGGTTCCTCCGATGAGGGTGGGCATAAATTCTTCTTGGTTTATGGCCTCCCGACCGTTTTGGTAAAGAAACTCTCTTATGTAGGCTTGCTTCCTCCTTTTACGCCTGAGACAGGTGGATCAAGGTGGCAGTTCCCAAAAGAGGGGAATCCTTGTGATCTGGGCAGGTATCTACTTGCAAATGACCAATGTTAGAATCAAACTAACATTCACGTACAGGTCAAAGGACAAGGACACTCTGACTCCCAAAACCTGGGTTTCCAAGCAGAGTCATTTTTTCTACAGCCCCATCCAATTTGTTATTTAAAGTGATCCAGAAAAATTTGCCAGGTAGAGTGTAGGGAGAGCAGTCTCGATGGAAGAAACAACATTGTTAGAAATGAGGAGGCATTAACATGGGCATAAGTTATATGGACTGGCAGGCCCCTGTTGTGGCTGTTACATGGCTTCCATATCAAGATCCCAAATGGGGGAAGAAAATCAGGCAGAGTAGGTGGTATTAGATTGTGAACAGCTTTGTATGCCAGACCTTTGAATTTTATCTTGAAAACAGAGGGAGCCACTGAAGGTTCTAGAACACATGATGTCATGTGTCATCTACAGCTTAGAAAAATAAATGCAGAGGGTGAAGCCTTAGCGTTGTTACTAATGCTAAACTACTGAAAACAGTCATGGTTGCTGATGGAAATTATTTCTTGAATTTATTCTGGTTTTCAATTTAATGTATATGTATTTGCAAGTATCTCCAGGATAAACCAGAGAATTTGTTAAGGAATCGCTGACCTCGGCCAGTAAATACGCAGTTTATTCACAGAATCCTCCTCCTCACCACCTGCAGAACAGAAGGCACAACACTGCACCTTCACTCTCAGCGTGGTTGGAGGACATTATAAATAAAGATCCCATGGAGAAGGTTCATCGTATCCCCCAGGAAGTCAGCGTATTGTGAATTCCAGGCAGCCGATTTATGGACTATGAGTAGGAGATGCTCTGAAAGTAAGTGATATTAATGTGAAAATGTTGGGGTTTGGCGTGAACAGTAAAGAAAGAATTCTTGAGGCATCTTTGGTGCAAAAGGGTGGTTTTATTAAAGCACGGGGACACAACCCTTGGACAGAAAGAGCTGCACTGGGGTTGTGAGGAGTGGCTGGTTATGTACTTCCAAGTTGGAAGGGGGTTAGGGATAGCGTAAGTCTCTGAAGAATTTGAAAGTAAGGTTTCCAGGACCTTGAGGGGGTTAGCTATTATTGTTAGGAAAAGGTCACTTACTACTGTCTAGTAAAACCTGAGTCAGGAGACCCTTCAGATGTATATCAGGGAGCCATATACTTGGGGGATGATTGCTCACCTGTATCTCGGGGAGTAGAGATAAAGGAAGTTTCCAAAGGAATTTTTATATGTTAAGGGAGATTTACAGGATCCTGGAGGTTGGGCTAATCTTAAGCTAAGTTTGCCTTTTGGCTTTAGCAAAGTCTTTTTTTTTTTTTTTTGAAAAAAATTTTTTTTCCAACGTTTTTATTTATTTTTGGGACAGAGAGAGACAGAGCATGAAAGAGAGGGAGACACAGAACTGGAAACAGGCTCCAGGCTCTGCGCCATCAGCCCAGAGCCCGACGCGGGGCTCGAACTCACGGACCGCAAGATCATGACCTGGCTGAAGTCGGACGCTTAACTGACTGCGCCACCTAGGCGCCCCCTAGCAAAGTCTTAACATGAAGGCAGTTGAGTTCCCAGAAGATCACTCTGCCTGTCTCAGAACTTGTCAAAGGGCTGTAAGTTGTAAGGATGTTTAATTCTTTTTATCTTTGTTCTCCCCTTCAATATGAACGAGCCATACCGCAAATGAGATGTTCTTTCTAACTGTGCTGTACTTCTCTCTGAATGCCAGTATTTCATCCTAATCCATTTATGAAGGCAAGCTGTTCTCTCTCTGCTGCTCATCTTCCCACACTTCCGTATTTAACTAACATCTGGTTTCAGTAAGGTTTCACAGCCCATTGACTTTTGACTGGTTGATCACGCTCCCATAGGGATAATACTGCCCATTGTAGGTATGAACTCTTCTTATAGTTTATTCTTATTTCAACTAATATCACAATTTATGTGCAGCTGGTTGCCGAAGCAGAACTTGATTTAATTGTGTGATTCTAAGTAGCTGATGCGTAGCCAAGGTTCATCAAAGGGAAAATAACCAGAGCAAAGCCAACACATTGGTGGTTGGCAGACAAATAGGGCAATTAAGACCCCTCTATGCCGTTTTGCCACTTCTGCGTGTGAAGCCGGGAATGCACCTCTTATTTCTCTTTCCTGGTTCCCAAATTTCCTCCCGTCGTAGGCAGGAGGGCAGCTTATGGCCCCTGCGTAGTGAAGACAGTCAAGACATGCAGATGTATTTTACAAATAGAAATAATAACAGCCCTCCTTCCCTCCTCACTGAGTTATGGTGAAGATCCACTGAGAAGTCATTGCAATTCCTTTGTAAGCTGTAAGGGGCAAAACTCTGCTGCCGCAGCCTTGCCTAAAACCCTCCAATCTCTCCCCCTCAGGACCTTGAAATGAAGTCCAGAGTCTGTATGTACATGGCTTAAAGATTCTTCCTGAGCGGGCTCACCTCTGCAGCTGCCCCCAGTCTCTGAGCCACCTCCTGCTCTAGGCTTCACCCTGTTCAGATCCCCCACTGGCTGTGCCCCACAGGCCTTCACTCAGGCCGCACTCTTTCTTCCCTGCTCCTCCCTTTCACCCTCATGTGGGCTGGTGCACCTCCCTTTAGCAACATCGGCTTCTGCAAGGAAGCATTTCTTTTTTTTTTTTTTTTAACGTTTATTTATTTTTGAGACAGAGAGAGACAGAGCATGAACGGGGGAGGGTCAGAGAGAGAGAGGGAGACACAGAATCTGAAACAGGCTCCAGGCTCTGTGCTGTCAGCACAGAGCCCGACGCAGGGCTTGAACTCACGAACCGCGAGATCATGACCTGAGCCGAAGTCAGACCCTTAACCGACTGAGCCACCCAGGCGCCCCTCCAAGGAAGCATTTCTCAACAGCAGCACAATTGACAACCGGGCCGAATAGTTTTTATCGTGGGGGGCTGTCTTTAACCATCATAGGGTGGTTGGCTGCAGGGATGGCCTCTATCCGCTAGATGCCAGTAGCACCCCCCCTCAAGTTATGACAACCAAAAATGTCTCCAGACACTGCCACATGTCTCCCCGGGAAACAAAACTGAACCCGAAAAATCTCCACTCCAAGGTGTTGCTTTTAATGGGGCCAATTATACTCTAGATACATCCAGATGCTACAAGAATCACAAGAACAAGAAGAAGAAGAAAGCTCTCTTTTTTTGCTAATGGTGGTCTCATCTTGGGCTCAAGCCACCATCACCCTCCTGAGGGATAACACTTGATCTTGCTAATTAAAAGTACCCTAGTCTCTTCTGGCTTAAAACCATCTCTTTCATTGTCCTCCCACCGCGTGAAGGGTGAAACATTCTCGGAAATCTGATTCCATGCTTACTCATGACTAGCAGTGGCTCACAAGTTCTTCACTTATTGAGTAAATCATAAGTTCGCTTCTGAACAAATAAATATCCTGAAGGTTTCTTTTGTCTTGTGCCTCAGAAGAAGAAAGTGGGACCAAATGAGCTGGCTGTGGATAAGATTGCAGACAGCAGAGCTGAGCAGGAGTGGGGGAGGAGGGACGGGGATGCTGTCTCTGATCCTCCCTCTGCCTAGATCCACAGTTTCCTGCCTCAGCTGGGTAGGGGCTGGATTTCGCATTCTTTTAAGGACACTTGAAAATTTCCCAGTATTTACCCATAGAAAAAAGGAGCAATGTCCCCTTACTCTAAAATCTCCCCCAAATTTCTTTTTTTTTTTTTTTAATGTTTATTTATTATTGAGAGACAGAGAGACACAGAGCGTGAGCAGGGGAGGGGCACAGAGAGGGGGAGACACAGAATCCAGGCTCCGAACTGTCAGTACAGAGCCTGACGCGGGGCTCGAACCCACAAACTGTGAAATCATGACCTGAGCCGAAGTCAGTTGCCTAACCAACTGAGCCACCCAGGTGCCCCACCTCCCAAACTTTCTGGTTATTTAAAACCTCCCTCCTCTCCCAGCTTGGGGGAGGAAAGTGAGGGAAGACAAACCCGTGGTACATCATCCCCTCTTTCTTCTTCCTCTGCCTTTCCTCTTAGAAGCAAATGGATTTTTGTTTTCCCTTCCCTCCCTACCTGGAAGGGATTCCCCCCTTCCCCTCCCCCACTCATGTCCTCCTCCTTCCCACATTCTGTTTCCCCTTCCCAGCAGACATTGTGGCAGCAGACCTGCAGTTGAAGAATCCTGCTCGTGATGGAGTGGCAGAAGCACTTAAGTCAAGCACTTAATTCAAAGTACTTAACTCAAACGTACTACTCCTTTATTCGTTCGTCAGAGAATAGTTAGTCGTCTATTTCCTTGTTTGTGTTCCTAGAGGGCAGGGTTGTGCTTGCCTTGTGAACCATTGCATCCCCAGCACTCAGCATGATGCTGCGTAACATATTACCTGGAATATAATAGCTTAAAATAATGCACATTTATTATCTCACAGTTTCCATGGATCAGGACTCTTGGCGTGGCATAGCTGGCTCCTCTGCCGAGGGTTTCACAAAGCTGCAACCACAGTGGCACTGCCATGAGATGGGGTCTCATTTGAGGCTCCAGGTTCTCTTCGGACCTTCTATGGTTGTTGGCAGAACTCATTTCCTTGCAGTTCTAGAACTCCTAATGACCTGCTTCCAAGCCAGCAAGAGACTGTTGCTGACACTTTCAGGGCTTTCATCTGATTCATATCCACCCAGGATAATTTCCTTTTTGCTTAACTCAAAATCAACGGATTTGCAAAATCCTTTCAACTTTGCCACAATACACAACTTCAGCACAGGAGTAACATTCATCATAGTCACAGATCCTGCCCACCTTCAAAGGGAAAGATTACACAAGGGTATGGGTCATTGGAGGTTATCTTAGAATTTTGCCCAAATTTTGCCCTCCAAAATATTGGTTGAGTGAGTGTGTGAAAGAAGGAAGGCAGGCAGGCATCCTGTTTGTCTTCACAATAACTCTGGGTGTAGGTAGTATCACCTTTACCTTATGGAGAAAGACATTCAATTCAGAGGCAGCAAATGATTTGCCTTCGTTCAAAGACGTGAAATTGCAGGATGAGGCTCCAGACTGAAGCCTGTCTGAGTCCTTACCCTTTACGCAGCAAAACACTCTCTGAAACCTCAGTCCTGCCACCCTGTCTCTGGCCAGAGCCCTGACACCAGCAGGGCCAACCTCTCTGCTTCTACTCACCTGGCTAGAGCAGGCCATGAGGTGGAGACAGAGGCCCACGGGGCCAGGACCTTCCCGTCCTTGCCATAGAAGGATTCCCTGGGCATCCGTCAGCCCAACAGACTCCAGAGGCCAGTGTGGGCCACGCCAGGGGTTCTGTGCACTGAGGGAGAGCAAAGATCAGTTTACTCCTACCCAGAGGTTTTGGCCCCAGTCCATGCCCAGACCTTGGCGCGTGTAGGTTCTTTTTGTTCCAGCATTCTCCAGGGGCAGAGAATGGGAAGCTGGTGAGGGATGTTTTCTGCACTGCCTCCTCCCTCTCAGAGGCCCAGTAAGCTGTTCCCCTTGCTCTAGTGGGAACGGAGTGTGAACAGTGATGTCCAGACCACAGAGGACAGGAATCCGGGGAATCCTTAGGAGAAGCTATGGGGTTAGCTCAGACAGCAACAATATACAGTGTTTTATACAAGTGAAGAATTTGTGCAGTGCGTGGCTGGCTCAGTTAAAAGAACATGCGACCCTTGACCTTGGGCTTGTGAACTTGAGCCCCCTGTTGGGTGTAGAGATTAAACAAACGTAAAACTTGTTAGAAAACAGCAACATATTAGGCTTCTCTTTTCATCTGCTTTTCCTTTCCCTCTGACTGTGCACCAGATATTCAATACCTTCTCTGTGTCAGGGCCACCGTGGCTTATTTTCTTCCCTGCCTCTTAATTTTTCCTAGTCTACTTGTGATCTTTAATAAGCAGTACCCTTTCATCTGTCTTTGTGTCGCCAGACTTCACATTTTTACCACATGGAAACACCGTATTATAAAGTCTCTCCACTATAGTAAAATCTGCATAATGCATAGGCCATCATATCCCGCCTTGTGGAACCTCACAGCACGCCAGGCATAAATCCAAGGTGGAAGATGTTTGTTTGTATATTTTCATAATCCACTTTAGGCTTTAATTACAATGAGACAATAAAAGAAAGATAGGAAGGCATTGATCTTGTGGCTGGCACCTTTGTTATTCACTTCATGTTGACAATTCCCATTGAAATTCAAGCATTCCTCCTCCTTAGCCACTGTGCCTCAGTCTACGGAGAGCATTCAAAACAAATTATCTGCAACCTTATGAATATCCAGCTCATTCTGTCCCACTTCCTTCTCCTGAGACACAAAACAAAATAAACCTTTAGGATATTTATGTGCTCAGAGGCAAATTTATAATTTACTCAAAGGTGAACAACTTTTGCAAGCAGCTGCTACTCATGAGTAAACATGAAATCAAATTTCAGAGAGGAAATTTTTACATTCCACACAAATAAACCTCCTAACTGCTACTTACGTAAAGCCAGACAGAATGGTAAAGGGGCTTCCCAAACAGGGCTGGATAGTCCAAAAGAAGCTTTTATTGATGAAATACAAACATTTGGAGCCAGAGAGCCTGTTTGTCCTATCCACTAAACCTATTTCCAACCACCGCTCCATCCTACTGATTTCCTTCCACCATCCAACTTGATTAAAACTGAAAGGGGGAGCTGCATATACAAAAGCATGGAGGCCTGGAAAACCTTTCATTTGTGGAAATGAAAGCAATTAATTCCACCTTTGAAAGATGGGGGGGACACCATTATCAAAGGCCTTCCGTTAAGAAGTTTGCTCTCTCCCAGGGGCACCTGGGTGGCTCAGTCGGTTGAACGTATGACTTTGGCTCAGGTCATGGTCTCACGATTCGTGAGTCTGAGCCCCACATCGGGCTCTGTGCTGACCGCTCAGAGCCTGGAGCCTATTTCAGATTCTGTGTCTCCCTCTCTCTGCCCCTCCCCTGCTCATTCTCTCTCTCTCTCTCTCTCTCTCTCTCTCTCTCTCTCTCTCTCTCTTTCTCTGTCAAAAATAAATAAAAACATTAAAAAGAAGAAAGAAGTTTGCTTTCTCCCAGAGACCCTCTGAATGGGTTCAATGGTAGATCTCCAAAAAGATATGCTCACACCCTAACCCCTAGAATCTATGAATGCTATCCTATTTAAAAAGACAAGGGACTCGGGTGCCTGGGTTGTTCAGTCAGTTAAGCCTCTGACTTCGGCTTAGGTCATGATCTCACAGTTTGTGAGTTCGAGCCCTGCATCAGGCTCTCTCTTTGCTGTCAGCAAGGAGCCAGCTTTGGAATCTGTCTCCTTCTTTCTGCCCCTCCCCCGTTTTTGCATGCTAGGAAGTTCAGGGGCGCCTGGGTGGCTTAGTTGGTTAAGCACCCAATTTTGGCTCAGGTGAAGATCTCACTGCTCATGATTTCGATTCCTTCATCAAGCTCTGTGCTGACAGCTCGGAGCTCAGAGCCTGAAGCCTGCTTAGGATTCTGTCTTCCTCTCTCTCTGCCCCTCCCCTGCTCATGCTCATGCTCATGCTCTGTCTCTCTCTCTCACTCTCTCCAAAGTAAATAAACATGAAAAAAAGAAAGATAAGGGGCACCTAGGTGGCTCAGTGGGTTAAGCATCAAAGTCTTGATTTTGGCAGGTCATGATCTCACAGTTTCCTGAGTTCGAGCCCCACACGGGGCTCTGTGCTGACCTTGCGGGGACTGCTTGGGGATTCTCCTTCGCTCTCTGCCCCTCCCCCACCTGCACTGTCTCTCACAAGATAAACTTAAAAAAAAAAGTCTTTGCCACTATAATTGATTTAAGTATCTTGAGGTGAGATCATGCTGTGTCATCCAGGTGGGGCCTAAATCCGAAGACTTGTGTCCTTAAAAGCCACAAAAGAGGAGAGGGCCGTGTGAAAGTGAAAGCAGAGGTTGGGATGGTGTGGCACAGGCCAAGGGAGCCGGCAGTCATCGGAAGGAGGAAGAAGCAAGGAATGGAGTTTCCCCAGAACCTCCGGGTGGTGTGCCAACACCTTGAGGTCTTCCGGCCTCCAGAACTGTGAGAGAATACATATCTGTCGTTGTAAGCCACCCGGCTTCAGGTCACTTGTTACTTCAGCCTAGGACAGATACACCTGTCCACACCCTGGGCTTCGTGGAGATCTACTCTTCGCCCTTCAGACTTAGTTCAGGTGCTGTGCTGTCTGTGGAGGCTCCCCTGGGCAGCCCGGGTAGAGTCAGGCCCTCCCTGCCCTCAGCTCTCGGCTGTCACCCTCTGCCTGGTGTTTCTCCTGTTGCTCTTGTTTCACTGCCTGGTGACACCCAGCCGTCCTTGGCCTGCTCTTCAGCACGACACCGAAACCCTTCAGGGACAAGTCACGCCTCACCCCTTTCACTTGCTCACATGGGTCTTGAAGTGAGAGTAAAAACGGATTTAGATCTGTTACCTAAAACAGCACCTAGAGCAAGCCTTCGGCCGTGCTTCGTCATCCGTCCTCGGCAGCCTCCCCTCACCTTCTCCCGCTCTGGCCGTCAGAAACGGGCTTCCCTGGTTTCACTTCACTGTGTTGAAACAACTCACGGGAGCTGTGCAGCTGCCTTCCTGGGAGAAAGGCCAGAACTAATTGACTCACAACATCTCTAATAAGAGGTTAAACACATATTCTGAGGCACAATTAAAACAAAGGGGAATTTTGTGAACTCTAGGAAATGGTACATTCGTTTCCAAAATCCCTTTCTACTTGCACTGCGTCTGGCATTTAGCTCCCTGTCCTTCCCCATCCCAGGCTTGTCGTCACCGGCTTCTGGGTCTTCCTGTCGGGCTCCCCATCCCACCCGCCAACTTGTAGCTCTCCCCTCTGTAGTGCAGAAGGTTCCGGTCCGTGTCAGGGCTTATTCTGAAACATGGGCTCAGTGAAGCCAGAAGCCCATCCTCTCTGGGGAGTTACTCACCTGAACATCATGTCGGACGATAATCGCCCCTCACCAGAAGCAGCCATCCATGTACATGAATCAAACACCCACAGTGCCTTCCTTAATAGGTCAAGTGAAAGACATTTTCTCCATCTCCCAAAACATGTCAATTTCATAATCAGAAAAATAACCAACAAAAACTAGATAACGTGTGTCAAAGCGTGAATATCCTACTCAGAAAGAAATCAGTGTGCTTAAGAGACGGGCTGACTGTCTCTCTTTTAGGGGAGTTTGCCACGATCTATCAGTGTTTGAATATGCTTTCTGTTAGACCTAGAAATCCTCCTCCTAAGACTGCCACAGAAAAATCTCTCCGAAGTGTACTTGGGCACATGTTCAAGATGCTGGTGTAATAGCAAAATACCTGGGAGAGAGTGTTTACCAAATATTAAATAAGGAAATAGTTAAATATACAGCACAGGGAAGATAGTCAATGGTATTGTAATAGCATTGTAC